TGTAAATACCAAGTCTCTTTGTATTCTCAAAAAATTTAAGAGTAGATCCTATTCCATTAACTATTGTTTATATTTGTTTCTAATTGTTTTTAGAATACCTTCTCACTTTAAAAATATGTGACTTGACAAGACATTCCATTGAGAGAGATCATTACATGTCAGTAAAAAAATATTTATCTGAAAACAGTCAACAGATGGTAGATGTACAACATACGCTGAAGTTTATGGACAAAAGTTAGAGGAGGTACAGGATTTGCATAATCTTAAAAATCTCCTTAGGTGTATTTATTAACTACAAAGGGATAGAAAAGAGCAACCTGACCGTAGAGAAACCTGGTAATCCCCAAATTAGCCAAGTGATCGAGGTGAACGGCGCTGACATGGTGAACTGAGAAGGACACATCGCTCTTCTGGTTTCCTTGCCGGAAGCACATCGCCCCCCTCCACCTGGAAGGCACCGCACAAAGCCAGGTCAGCGGACGTTCTGTAAATAATGGAACAGCCCCTTCAAAGCTGTCAAGGTCACAAAACACTAGGAAAGATCAAGGGACTTTTACAGACCACGTAGAAATAATGACTAAACGCAACATGAACGCCTGGGCCTGATCCCAGAACAGAAGGAGGATATTAATGGGGAACAATGGGTAGAAATTCCAAAACAGTTTGTAGTTTAATTAATAAGACTACGCCAATGTTCATTTTTTATTCTTGATACCTGTATTGTGTTTATGTAAGATGTTAACATTACTGGAAATGGAGTGAGAGATATAAAGGGACTTTAATATGTAATTTTTCCGTAAGACCAAATTTGGTTCAAAATAAAAGGAATTTTCAAAATTAGGTGCTTAGGACATGAAAGAAAGAAAAGCAATTATCAAATATTTTTGCGTCCCTACTATAGGCCAGATACTGTTCCAGACATAGTCATGAATGAGGCAAATTCCCAGCTCTCTGATTTACAGTCCTTTTGCAAATAATTGTATGTGTACATCAAACAAATAAAAAAGAAAAAATAGAGCGGTTAAATACAGAGTGAAATGAACGTAAGGAGTATAAATTTAATAGATATTTATAATGCCTGACTGCAATAGCCCATGAACTGCCATATTTTGCAGTGTATAATGCACACTTTTTTGCCCAAATTTTTGAGGGAAAAATAAGGGTGTGTCTTACCCAAGGGTAGTACCTGAAATACTTTGTATCTGTTCTTGTGTTTTGTAATTATTTGTTATATAAAATTACTTGTACCATAATATGTTTTAAAAAATGTTAAAATTCCTCTATAATATAAAAAACAAGTATCTAGATATGAATAAAAAAGTAACTGATTTTAAAAATTAAAACAAAAGATATTTTCCTGGAAGCTTGGGTCAGAAACGTGGGTGCGCATTATACATGGCAAAATATGGATCGTAGTCGTAGGATTCCAGATGAGGTTTATAAATTGCAAACCACACCACACCCCGTTACCTGCCGCTGGCAAGCCTGTCATCTAGTGATAAAACGGGGAACTGCAGCAAAATACCTATAGCCTCTAGCGTGAGTCAGCTCAAACTGCTTGGGGATTACAGGATTTTGAAAGGAGATGAGGCAGAAGCAGAGTTGGAACACAAATGTACTGAGTAGCATGATATCAATAGCACAGAGGATGAAGCATGGACTCCAAAGCCAAGCTGCTTGGGCTTAAATTTTAGCTCTGCCGCTAATATTGTGGCCTTAGGTAAGGTACTGACATTCTCTAAGTCTCAGTCAGAGTAGCCAGTAGCATCACATACAGTCTTGGGGTAAAACGCTTAATATCGTTCGTGGCATGTAGTAACACCTCAATAACTGATAGTTTTCTTGCTGTCATGGTCACGGTCTCCCACAGCACAGATTACATTTTACAATCTTCTCATGCTATTGTCTCACCCACTAGAGGGAGCTCAAGACACACTGATCAACACAGAGGTGGTAACGTCCGTGTAAAACCTGAGTAAGATTTAGCAGAACCACTGGCCAACAGGTTACATTATATAATGCAGTATTTTGGAAATGCCAAAAACCCTTGACCATCCATAACAATTGTACTTGATTTGATGGTGTCCAAACACACCAGCAATCACTGAACAGGTCAGCACCCTGTTACCGACACTTTGCCCTCAGTTAGGTTGGAATTCCCCTTGTACCTGCGACCATCATGGCAATGGATCAAGTGACCATGGTGGTCATCGACTCTCCTAAACTGTAGCTTAGATGTCCTAGGGAGCCCAGCTCCACACAAGGTGTATCTTAAACCATCTGATGTATATGGAAGTGTACGGACTCTCTCATTTCCTTTATCAGAAAAGATCATGTATGTAGAAATAAAACATTTTTCCACAGCACAGCCTAGGACCATCTTAATTTATGTACAGAACAATCCTATTAGAATTGTCGGTTGAGCTCTGCCAGCATGTCTTATTTAGACCAATAATCTTCACTTTGCAGCTCTAGAACATAGTAGCCACTCAAAATATTGATGTATTAAGGGAATGAATTCCATAATTTATTCAACTGATCTTTATTGAGTATCTACTACGCTCCAGACATTTTTGGCACTGGGACAACAACAGCAAAAGGAAATTTTTTTTTAAACCCTGACTCCATTAAGATCACATACGAATGTGGAGAGATTATCTATAAACAAAATAAATAAAATGCATAAGGAGAACACTGAGCACTAATGAGAAGAGTAAAGCAGGGAGGAGTCAGGCAGAAATTCAGGCAGTGGAGCCTGTGTGAGGGGTAATGAGGAAGCTCAGTGGAGTCGATTTGCATGAGGAACCAAGAAGCATCCTGGGAAGAGTTCATCAGGAGGAAATTCAGGGTGTCCGTGACTCAAGGACTAGGGTTCAGGCTTGGAGATGAAGGGCATCTGTGCACACAGCCCACCTGTGTGCTCGAGCCTGGGCCCCAGGGAGGGAAGCCTTCATGAGACAGCTCAGATAGTCTCCCCATCAAGTCTCCCCTTGAACAAGACTGCTGACCTGCTTGAGAATGATGGGATAGGACACAACCAACAGGTGGGGAGAGGTTCACATCCCACCTTCCACTGCCAGCACTGAAATGCCTCCCACACTAAGTCCATGGGCCCTTTGGGAAGAAACAGCAAGTCCAGGAGCTCAGGGAGTCTTGGCCCAATGCAGGTCTGGGTGCAGCACCAACAGAGGGTGGTACCTGAGGGACCTGTTGGCAAAGTCACAGGCTTTACCACTGCTCTGTGGCACCGAAGGGAGGGTAGCAGATTCCACACTGAGCCAACCATGAGTTGGGGAAGAGTGGGCAATCCCAATTAAAATTTGGGGAACCAGGGAAGTGAGGCATGGCATTCTGAAGGACCCACAATAACCAGTGAGATCCAATAGAGAGACTGTTAGTTCCATGTAGTCTGGGAGACATAGACTACACAAAGTCATACAAAGATTTTATTAACAGAAAGCAGTATTTTAAAAATAAATCTGTAGATTGCATATAGAATTTGGAAACCCTGCCAAATCCCAGTCTGGTAAATGTCAGCCAACAGCCTTATTACGTCCTAACAAAGGATCTTTTCAACATTGATGGTCAAAGGCTCTTGGGGACCAGACTGGGGAATTCTTGGCATAGATGTATCAGAGCTGTTGAGGGTGACTCTGACTCACGTCCACATTACTGGACAATTCCATCACCCAATTAAACATCCTAATGGCGCCTTCCACTGTCACACCTAAACTGTCAAAGATGCTATCTACGTGTAACCAAAATAAACCATGAACGTGTGTTTTATCCCCAATGCTAAACTTCCCCAGTCCTACGGAAGTGATTATTGATGTAGAAAATGCCCTTCGGTGATTTATTTCATGTAGTTATAATGCATCTTTCCCATCGTGACAATGGCTATTTGTAGGCCCAAGTGATCTTTCTAGAATCCCAATCCGATCAGGCCGCTTTCCTCCGGAAAGAGCCCTCACTCCCTGAAATGGCTTACAGGGTTCATCACTGCAAGGAGACCCCTGCCTCCATCGCTCCATCCCCATGGCTTCTTCTTGCTGATAACGGACTTCTCACAGCAGCCATCGTCATGGCTGTTCTAAAGTCTGCTTTCTCTGCTGACACGTAAGCTTATGCGGGCAAAGATGGAGACTCTTTGTTGTTCATTGTATGTACCTATGGGTTAACATGGTGTTGGAACTTAGTAGGTGCTCAAGAAATATTTATGCAAGAAATGAGCCAGAGTGTCAATGAATAGTGAAATGGCCAGAATCTTTCAAAGTCTGTCACCCTGGGGTAGCAAATCTGGTGTTTTATTGGCTGGAGGTATTTGTGCCTTTTCACATCTGGTTATGCTGAGCTACCCTCATTGTGCTCTGCTTTCTCTGTTGACACAAGAAGGACCATGTGCCACCAGTGGAAGGAGATAAAAGGAGAGTCTGTTACTCCATTTAGAGCTTAATAGAAATTTGGCCAAAAATTCCACTAAAATGGCTTCAAAGAACCTAAGGCATTTCATGTATTTATTAAAGTCGACACAGAATTTTGAACTAAAATTCATAATGTTACACTTACACATGCAAGGAAAATTATAACATTTAAAAATCTAACCAAAGTGGAAACCCTTCAATTGGTGTTCCAAAGGCAGAGTGCTCACTTATTCAAGAGCTCACTGACAGATACACACAAGTCAAGAAAATGTAATTCTTTGAAATTTTCTTCCATGATTTGATTATGTCACCCATATAGCGCTCAAATGATGCCCCAAAGATAAGGGCCAGAAAGCTTTTTATTCCTTTTTTTTTGGGGGGGGGGGACATATACCCGCTTCCCTGATTACCACAATCTTAGGGTTCACCAACTCATGGAATAAGTTGGGAGAGATCCTAGACCCATTTGGCAGACATGCAAGCTGAGGCTCAAGGGTGCGAGGGGTGTGAACTGCTTTGAGTCACAGGTCTGTCCCCGCACCTCCCCTGTGACTCTGAGCCTTGCTCAACCCCATTTGCTTAGGGAGAGGCGAGCTTTCCGCAGAAGAGAATGGTGTTGGTGCCGGAGTGCTTTATAAAGAACAGGAAAGGGCGGTTTGCCACAAACTGAGCACGGATGGGGAGTCTTTTCATGACAAGGTTGTCCCCAGTGGCCGTCGCTGCCTCGGTGCCCTCTTCATTGACATCCACATAGGACTTGTGGACTACCTTTGATAAATACAGGCCCTTGGCTGTTGATATTCCAGACAGGTCAGCTTTGATCTGATTGAAGACATCTATCATCCCAAGGGATTTTAGCAGGGAATTCAACTCATACTTGATCTCCAGTTTGAATCGGGGCAAATGGACCTCGACGTCTCTTTGCATCATGTTGGAAGAGCTGGTCCACTTATAAAATGTCTTCACATTCAGCTGCTTCTCTACCTAGGAGACAAAGCACAGATGGGCCCACACCAGCCAAGAACATGCCTCTGCACTAACTGCTGTTTGTGGTATAATTCTCAGTGTGAATGATTCAATTCCATTAACTTCTTTTTGGCTTTTAAACTGTGCTTAGATTTTGTCTGGGGGAAAAAAAAAATCTTGCATTCTTGCATTCGTCCACATCTTCCCTTTTCTATTTTCTACCTCTCATCAATATTTCATAATTAAACTTTCCCAATGTGCACCCCACTGTCTTTGCCTTAAATCACTCTCGCAATGTGTGGACTTGACCTAACCTCCCTCATGCCTCTGCAACCGTGTTCTCGTTTCCTGAATGAACTCAAGCATTTCTCCTTGGTTCTCACACCTGAAACATTTAGCAGCAACCTCCCTCATGCACTCGCTTGTCCTTTGGTTTCTATGACGCCAGGGCCCCTGTCCCACTCTCCTCTAACCCCCCCCCCCTCCCTACTCTTAAGGCTGACCTCTGGGGGCCTCCGTCCAGCCAGTCAGCTCCCACACCCCCGCTGAGTCCCCACAGCGGCCTCACAGCCCTGAGTTCTCCTTCTCCACCAGTTCCAGGAGTGTCTGTAAACGCTTCACACTTCCGTCTTTGGCCAACTGAAACTCTCCAGAGCCCTCCCCGCAGCTCCAAACTGATGAGTCAAACCATCATTCTCTCCCTACAAGAATCAAAGACTTATTGGTCGCCTTCTCACCATCCTGGCAATAGCAGATCAATGGTTTCTCTTCCTATTGTCCTTTTGTGCCCTGCTCCAAGTCACCACGGTTCCGGGACACAAAGCCACCTCGCTGCCTCGTCCTTCTAAGGCCTCTGCGCTCGCCCTGTGCTCTGGTGGGAGCAGCATGCATATGCGTGAGCCCCCTTCCACCAAAGCCCAGGAGCTCGGCTGGTTTCCTAGCAACTGTCCGGCTAGCGGAGCCCGGGGAGGTCCCCCTGCATCCATGGCTTGCTCGCCCTGGGCAGCTGGGCAGCTGTGACAGGAGCCAGGGAGAGGGGCTAGACTCCCGCCACCGCGGTGACCTCTTCACGGTGGCCGGGGCCGGGGCTCTCCTTTCCCCGCAAAACCAGGACGTTCAAAGTGGTTGTTAGCCCCCAAAGCATGTTACTTTTGGATCGGCAGCGGCCCCTGAGAGGAAGATTGGCTTCATCACGGACCAGGAACGTTACCATTTCATGACAAAGATGCTTCCCAAGGGTCCAAAGGTCAATGCGAGGGGGTGTTTGTACACCATGCACTTCTGCCTCTGGGTGCCTTTTTAATATAAAAATAGATTGTTTTCCCTAAATACATCATCCTGAAGGCAGGAGCTTGGAGGGCCCCCTTCCCCCTGCGCTACGTGTGCGCACGCGCACGCCTGCTCTCCCCGCCGCCGGCAGCGCGGCCCGCGTTACCTGATCTAGAGCCGTGGCGCCCGCCGGCAGCAGGACAACCAGGCTCAGTGTGCGGTCCGCGTAGGGCAGCTCCAGCACTTGCATCTGCGGCTCCCTGACGAAGGCCATGTTAAACGTCCCCGTCTGATACATCATGTCCACAAGTACGCTCTTACCCTATTTTTTTTTAAAGAACGATTGCAATTAGACAATAGTTACATAGGTGTGTGCACGTGCGTGTGTGCTGATTTTCTTGCACAACATAAATATCTGCATTAACCTTCTAAACGCATGGGGAAACGGTGAACTGCAAAATATACCCGTATTACTTTCCGCCGCAAAGGTTATGATTTTTTATTTGAAAATAAGTCCTGGTTAGAGCCTGAATAGTTCACATAATAATGATAGCAATAAAACAATAATATATATGCCTCCGCAAGACAAAGCCAGGGCTTCCTGATAAAATGAGATCTAGGGGGAAAAAAATGATATCATAGGGTCCTTTCTTAATTCAATTAGTTACTTTTTAAGAGAAAAATAATATATAGTTGTATTGTGCTGCCAGAGCAAATAACCACAGCACATCCTGAAAGAAGACAGAGATAGGAGAACAGACAGGGGGAAAAAACAGACTGGCTCTTGCTGGGCGTACCCGTGCCTAAGGCTCCACTCAGCTGCCCTGTGAGAAAGGTGACCATCACGTCATATGGAAAAACGAACACAAAATTCACAGAATACACAATTAAAGGAACCCAGGGAAATCAAGAGCACTATTTTCACTGAAATCTTCTCACTGTCCTTAAATGATTATTGCAGTCTCCAGAACTGACCATCAATCGGACGAGACACGTACCTCACTTAGCTGAAAGGGGGCTTTAATCGTCTCTCGCTCCTGAAATTTACTTTGCCATTGTCCTTTGAAATAGATGGCATTCACCAAGACCAGTACAGAAGAAGGGTCGATTGTGCCCTTTCCAAAGAGGTTTGTAATTTTTCCTTGTAATAAAAAAAAGAATAGAAAATATATTTGGATTTGAACTTAGATAGGCACAATAGCTAACATTAAATGCTCTCTCTCTATACATATACACATATAATTGATAAATATATAAATGAATTATTAAGGAAAAATAGTACTCTAAATAAATACACAGCATATGGATTCCTAATGTGCACCCACGGCAGACAGCACGAATCAATCTATTCATTTATGTTAAATATTTCTAAGAGATGGCACTGTTCTAGGCACTAGGACACTAAACTAAAGAGACAAAAGCCACCACCCTCATGGAGTTCATGCCCTAGCGACTCCGCTGTGGGCTTTCCCATGCCACCACAGTTTAAGCCTCGGACCCTTTCTCAACACACAGTTGGTTCCCAGGCAGCACTGGGAGTGGATCAGAGTTGGCATGTGAGGTGAAACCCACTTTTCTCCACTGTTCTGAGCAAATGAACAGATCTAAAAATATGTGGAACTTTCCATGAGTTTTCTAACGATACAAAGAATTGAATGGATACCTATTTTAATCTGATCGCCTATTACATAGTTTGAATAACACCCATCAATTAATGACAAGATACTTTTGAGAGCTCATCATTGTTAAGTGATAAAATAGATACAAATATGTTAGAAATACGGTCTTTATGCTCAGAGAAGTAATTATCTTCTACTAGTAACATATTACTAACACATTCTTCATAAATGCCATGAGCTCTAATTTAATACTTTGTTTTTATTTCATTCTAATTTTAATGTGTTAATTAATAAAGTTAATTCTCTTCCATATCAGAAAATATGATTATCTGTGTTCCAAGCCTTCAGGAATTAATGGTTCGATGAGTCAGTGGCAAACTCACAGAGGTTATTGTGACATGGTAATTTGACTGTACATGTTCAGTGGAATACGCCCTAAGGACAGAAAGAACTGCAAAAATATCTTCAGCTACTATTGTTGATTGTTTTATTAGTTAGTATTGCTTCTTTCGACACTGTGTGTTTTGTTGGTTGAGTCATTGTGCAATAATATTGGTGGCATTGAAAACTTGAATTTTTGACATGAGAACAAGAGAAATAGATGTAAAATGGAAGGGCATATTAAGTAAAAAGTCCTGTGAATCTGAATTTGAACTGGTGATATTAGTAAGAAATTAAAATTTCTAAATATATTTCATCTAAATATATGTAGTTCCTAGTTATAGCCATTGAAAAGGCCTAAAAATGATGATCAAACCAGTAGCAATGAGCACTCTTATACCCAAATGATGGTCTCTAAATAGCATTTTGCATTAAAAGGATCCAGGGTTCCTTGGAGAAGTAGGTGCTAGGTGAGGGACAAGAAATGAACAAGATTGGCTCTGGCCGCTGTGGTTCAGTAGATTGAGCCCTGGACTGTGAACCGAAGAAATGAACAAGATGAGCCTAGAACATCTCATCAATTCAGAATGAAAGGATGCTACCAAATTCTATAGGAGCCACGTCAAAACGACTCGTGGGCCATAGGAAGATGTATCCCCTGGCTAAAGGGAACAATTTGAGTTTCGATAGCTTGAAACATCTCATTACATGTTTAAATGTATGGATTCATAACGATACTTTAAAAAGAAAACTCATTGGCTACATTGGAGGACAGTGAGGGGGGAAAACGTTATTTTAAAAACTTGTGTTGAAGAAAAAGAATCCAGCATGCTTTTTGGTTTTGTTTTGTTTTGTTTTTCTCATATGAACCGTACTTAGGGCAACCAAATATTTTATGAGAAGTTTCTCATATAGAAATAGTCCAGCTTATAAATAAAGAAGGAAGGCAAGAATCGGCATATGGTAACTTTAGAGCCCCTCATAAAATAATGGACGTAAGCAGGAAGCATCAATTCCAATCAATCAGATGGAATTTTAAAATAGGCAGAACTCATACATAGCAATAGAAGTCAGAGAAGTCTTAAGATCTGGGAATGGGGTGGATTAGTTTCTGGGAGAAGAAATGAGGGTGACCTTGGCGTGCCCTTCCCAGTAGCAAATGTTTTATTTTCCTGATCTGGCTGGTGGTACAACAAGGTATTCACTGTTGTGATAATTCACTGAACAACGAATATGTAATGTATAGGCTTTTCTAAATGTACATGTATTTCAGTCAAGAAACATATTTTCAAGTTTATTTTAAAAATCAAGCTTGAAGGAACATATTCATTAGATGCAATGTAGAAATATTCTTTGGGGTCTGATTTGAACAAATAAAGAGGCAATTGGAGGAATAAAAAGCTCACTAATCTTAATAAGAAATGATTTTTTAATTTGGTAGGTATAATAATGGTGTAGTGGTCATATTTTTTAAAAGCTTATATTTTTGAGAGGTGCAAACTAAAACATACACAGAAAAAAAGGTATGATATCAGGGATCACCCCCCAAAATAATCTGAAAGCGGTGGCGGGAAAAGAACATGGGTTTAGTAAACAGAACTGCCCTGAAGTAATAAATATTGGAGCTGAGTGATGTGTAAATTAGGATTCATTGTATTCTCTTTTTTCTCTCATTTATTTTTCCTTAGCTAGATTTTTAAAAAAATAAATGAACACATCTTTGATATGAATATTTAACATTCCATGGAAAAACATTTAACAATATATAGGATTTATTTTAAAATTGGGAAAGGTAGACTTCAATTGAATTCAATTTAATGTTAAGCTGTATGATGACACCTCTATAACAGAGACATAGTATTCTCATTCTCAGAGTCACTTGCTTAGATCACTTAGGACACATGGTTATAAGGGGTATTCAAACATATTCCCCCATTTTCTCCATTGCTAATCTGTGTGTCAGCTTCCAGACTTCACCCCACTTCCTCATTAGTGCTGACTCAGGGAGTTTATCAAGACAGTGTGAATCAAGTTTGGAGACACATATGTGACTTATCCTTACCATTAGTTTTACTTTCAACCCAAGCATTAATAGTTTGCCTCGTTTCTTCTGGAGACTGTTGAAAATCAACAGCTTGCAGCCTGGCTTGGTACAATTTCTCAGAACAGCTTAAATATTGCTGTAAAAGAAAGGACTACTGCATAACAACACAAAAATAATGTAAGGAAAACAAACACACCCAGCTCGATGTAGTCTAAAATCATAATAAACAAAAGCAACTCATGCATATACCTAAAAAGGACCAGAATCCATGCAAAGATACATAATCAAATCAAAGAACTTTCCCAAAGGAGCGTTCAGAAATTTTTGGTTGCTACTTCTGCCATATCGTGGGCATTCTTAGTTTTAAAACATTCAAAGCAAAATGACCGATTGCAGTAGAGCACCTACCTTTTCACTGTCTCTCCTCTCTCCTTTCCAGAGAATACACACAAATGGGAGTTACTGCTTTAAGGTTCCAGATAGGAAAACTGAGGACAAATGTGATTAAATGGTTTCCTTGTTTGAGGTCTAACACAAGGTTAGTTCTCCACATGGTATATTTCTACCTCCTCACAAGCCACCACAGGTAAAATCAATAATATTATTCTCTGTCCTGGCCAGTGTGGCTCAGTGGGTTGGAGCATCATCCCATAAGCTGAAATGTCATGGGTGCAATTCCCAGACAGGGCACATACCTAGTTTGAGAGTTCATCCTCAGTTGGGGCATGTAGGAGAGGCAACCGAGCAATGTTTCTCTCCCTTTCCCTCTCTAAAATCAATGACAATGTCCTCAGGTGAGGACAAAATAATAATAATAATTAATAATAATAACAGTCTCATGGAAATTTCTTCAACCTTATGTAAAATGTAAAGAAAAATATCTTAAGGATACACTAGTTTTTTCACATGTATTATCCAAGTAATAAGTAATGTACAAATTCAGTGTAAAGATCCTAGTGCTCTCTTTTAACCAAATTGTCGCTCCCAGCGTGGCCCCCATGTAGTATTCTGGGGCCACTATCCACCGCCACCATGAACTGGGAATGTTCCACAACCACATCTATGTGGACCCAAATGGAACGGTTTCCAATTCCATTCTTGCAACCTTGGGGACATGCCTCTATAGTCCAGCAGGATCTGATGCCGCCCACGAATATCTAGGGTAATATAAGACCTACAACTGCAGCAGGTATGAAAGTGGATGGCCAGCATCGGGCTTGTCACTTGCTTAACTGAGTTCCCTTGTGCCTAAATCAAGTGTAGAACAAAAGGAGAGTTTAACTTAGAGCAAAACCTGGGCCGTGACATGATTCTTGTCCTGAGCTGGGTCCCACTGTGGCTGGACTGTGCTTAAGTGACTTCCCAGAGCCCACGAGATGGGAGTTTGTCCAGACAGAACCCTGCGATAATATTATCTATGGCCCAGACCATGACCATCGTCATCCTACTGATATGGAGCTTCATGCTTCGGGAACAGATGCAATCATCATTATCCCTAATCACCATTTGTCTACTCTTACGTCCAGATCGCTGTTTGAGGGGACAAAGGAGCGAGCGTGGTCCAACTCCAAGGATCACGACTGTTAATCCCCACCGCTTCCAGTGCTCTCCGTAAAACACTCTCTATATGCTTCTGGGGCAGTAGAGGGAAATACCTCCGAAATATCTGTAGTGTCAGGGCAGGCTACCCCAAGTTAAAAAAATTCTAACAATCAAAAACTTGTCTAATATTCAAAGTCATGAAAGCCAGGGACCTATGGCCAAGATTGTTCTACCCAGCAAAGCTCTCATTTAGATTGAAGGGCAGATAAAGAGCTTCCCAGACAATAAAAACTCAAGGGGCCCATCACCACCAAACTATTATTATACGAAATGTTAAAGGGACTTATTTAGGGAAAAGAGCAAGATCAAATCTATGAACAATAAAATGGCAAAAAATACATATTTATCAACAACTGAATCTAAAAAACGAACTCAGCGGACAAGAAGAACAGAGACAGAATCACAGATACAGAGAATGTTTTGATGGTTGCCAGATTTAGGGGGGGATGTGGGGGAATGGGTGAAGAGGTGAGGGAATTAAGAACAAATAGGTAGTTACAGAATAACATGGGGATGGAAAGTACAGCATAGGAAATGGAGCAGCCAAAGAACTTACACTCATGACTCACGGACACGAGCAATGGTGGGGGGATTGTCTGAGGGTGGAGGCTGGTACTGGGTGGAGGGGGGAAATCAGCACAACTGTAATAGTCTAATCAATAAAATATAATTTTTAAAAAACTTGTCAAGTGTAAGACACCTCTGGGCTAAAGAAGAACATTAGAAGTTCAGGGCTGCTTCAAACAACAGTGGTCACACAAAAGCTATGTCACTGACGCTGGCATTTCCCTTCAATCACAGCAAGATGATGTAGCAACGAGGAACAGGAAAATGGATTTGGACAGGGATCAAATTCCGGCTTTGCCACTTAATTATCTCCGTGACCTTTGTCAACCTGACTTTTCCGGATCTGCTTCACAATTGTGGAATACTGACAATTTTGTACCTGTATCTTAATACTATGTAAGGATTATATAAGCTAATGTCTTCAATGTATAGGGCAGAGTGATTGACACATAGTAAACACCCAATAAAACTATATATTCCAATGCAGTTGGGAAATGGCATAAATAGTGTTAGAATTTTGTAGCCAAAGAAAACTTGATCCAATACTGTCATTTTAAAGATAGATGCGGCTTGCCCAAGGTCTTATGTCTAAATGAGAACAGAACTCAGATCTGTTGGTTTCCAGTGCAGCATCTTTTCCACTCTGCCATTCAGGAGTTTTTCGAAGAAGAAATGAGAAACAGATTTTGTTTTTCTTCTGATCCATACAGGATAATTTTTCCCTGCTTTGTTTTGTGCTTCATCTTTGACCTTGGTTCTTGGACAACTTTGGTGATTTGGGGGATGTAAAATTTTTATGTGATATTTCACAACTTTAAATGGGGGTTTGGGAAAACCATTTCATTGAACTCTAACTCAGCTCAAATGTAATCTCTTAAAGATAAACATCAGGTGTCTCTTCACACTCTTGAATTACCTTCTGGTGCGAAATTCAGAGGACGCCAAGAAAGCTGTTAACCACCAGTCCAGGTGGACTTACCTGAAGGAATGCCACGTCCTGTGTCCCGTAGAGTTTGTTGGCAATGCTGAGCGTATAGTTAGAGTCTGGCTGGTTGATCTGAGAGAGTAAGACTCCAAACTCTGAGTGAATCCTTCCAGCTTGGCTGCACTAAAGCACAGTAAACAAAGGATGGAGTATTAAGTTGCTTGATTTCTTGCCATTGGAGAGTTATAAATAACGTGAAAACAATAAGGAGCTGAAGGGTTGAAAGCATTTTTCCTCCTTAATTTCCTCCAGCCCACTAATCTCTGCACCCTGTGACTCTGGTTACAGATTGTGAGCAGAACTATTAAGTTATTGCAAAATACACATGCACCTGTCAGCCCCCATGTTTTCATTCAAAAGCAGAAGTTACCATAAATAAAGAGATCCTAATCTCAGGGCAATAATCCAAGTTTTTGTTTTGTGTTGTTTTGCTGCCTTCGTACCTATGGAACCATTTCTCTTCTCTGTCGCACACTTTTTAAAGTCTCTGTTTCCTGTGACCATTTAATCAAACTCTTCAGCTCCTCATTGTACTGGCCTTCCACACCCACGTGTCCCTCACAGGGACAATCTGGCCAAGCATAAAGCTGTGACGCATCCAAAGGCACGGACGTCAAAGGGGTTATGCCTATATTCCCTAAAGCAGATTCTCAAACTATCACCTGTAATCTCCTAACAATAAATTGGGTTCTGTGAACCAAGTGTCCTGTGAACCTATACATACTTGGGAGTTGTGCATAAATCTCATGTCAAAAGGAATCCTCCTACCAGAAGTAACTAGGAACAGGTGGGCTAGGCAGCATCAGCCTTGTTTTCCTGGTGTCTAATTATGCACCAAAGCCTCAATGTCCTTTCTCAGTCCCTTCACAGATCTGAAAAGTGTGACACTTCACTGAGGAGGCTGGCAGGCTCACTATGCACACAGTTTGTAAAAGAACAGAAAAGTTTGCGTAAGGATGACAATAAGCCACATGATAAAATCTGGGGACTTTATTACTGTTGTCACTAAATCTGTAGGCCGTAGCAATTACCAGGGATATTGCAAGCCCTTTTAGGGGACAAGGAGGGGCTCTGCTCCTTAACCCTTGCACCCTTATTTCTTGGTGCTCTTACATTAAAGAACGTTTGACAGCTCAGCCATAATGTTATCATACCTCAGCCGAGTCCTTAAACTGCAGCTTTAATGGTTCTGCAATATGATTAAAGTGAAGCACCTAGAAAAAGAAAGAAGGATCAATTGGCATCAAAAGCAACAGTTGTAAGTACTTACTTTTCCATTTCAGATAAAAACCAATGTCATAAGTAACATTTAACGATGTTATGTTCCAAGTCCTGAACTAAGCCTTTGCATATCTTACTTTACCCTCCCAACAACTTTATGAATCAATATTATTATTCCCATTTTCTGCTAGGGTAATGGAGCCAAAGAAGGATTAAGTGACATGCCCAGACCACTGTCCGTGAGGGTCCCCACACTAGACTTTTCTTCTGTCTCCAACCTTTCTCAGGCCTATGACAGAACCCACTCAGGACCACGTAAAACATGGCATGGTTTTCCAGCACAACACCTATTTTAAATGCAAAAAACTCATGATAGTACATCAAACTATGGAATAAATCAATAAAAGACAAACAGTAATAGGATGTTAACAACTCCTGGGAGTTGTTAAGTGATATATTCTTCTAGGATTTCCACATCAATAAAATATATATAATGGAAGAAGTCACTGATCAGCCTATGTAATCTGAAAAGTCAATCTCAGCTTTTGTAACCTGAATAGGCACCCTTTCTCTCTCAGCCTGTTCTCCCAACTGTGAAATGGGGATAACAATAGCTACTTTGCCACGCAGGGTGGTTATGATGTTCAAAAAACTAACAAATATTTTTTAAAACTTGGTAATGCTTAAAGTGTAATTAAGTTTTATTATAAATTAAACTTCTAGAGAGGAAGAATCGTGTCATACATGTGCTCTCAGTCATGTTTAAATAAATGATTGACAGGATGAACTCAAAAAGTAATCATGGAAATGTGTGTGTGAAAACCTCGATGGTAAGGAAGAGACTGTGTATTGCATGGATTTTGCTATTCTCTTTATACTATGTTATATTACTTAAGCCATTATCCACTTTTAAGGATTATGATTTGCCCAAGTGTGTTCTTTCACAAGGTGGCAGTATTCCCGGTGTAAATATGCAATCTGACCCATAGAGGGTGCAAGTGGGACTTCCAGCCTCTGGGGCATCATTGGACATTCCATACCTTTTCCATCTGTTCTGCACTGCGTCCTCTGGCACCAAGTAGGACCATACTTAGAGCATAAAGCAAACTCAGTGGGGAAAAGAAGATGTTATCTCCCACGTTGTTATTGTTCAGCTCTTTGAACACATCAAGGCAAAATTCAACATTTGCTGTGCTGAGGGAATCCATTTTATGCCAAGCGCTACCTGAGAACAGAATGGAAAACAGCTCAGCATACCACATGGAGATACAGACAATACATAGAATTTGGTCATTACATTCCATAAATTAAAGTTGCCTGAGCACACTATTTTTTAAGAAATTAATGAAGGGTGGAGGCGGGCAAAGGGGGCTATAGTGTCAACAATAAAAATAAAGTAAAAAAGATATTAGTAAACGTTAGAGAGGAAGATTCAGAGTAGTTTTAGAGTTTGATGAATAGAAGATTTACGATTCCTTTCAACTGATACTTCAAAGCTATCGTTTGTGTACATTCAAAAGTGATCTGCAACTGTTCTGAAGCAAAAGAGCGGAAGGAATTCAGTCTTTGTGCTCTGAATTTCCATGTTTTATGACACTCCTCTCCTGGAATCTGTACAGAAAAATCCTTGAGCTACAAAGGCTCTGCCCATAACATGCTTTCCCACTAGACTGCCCACCTTTACACGGAAGGAACAATTCCACGTACATTCCATATAATGGGGCTTAACAACTTTGTCAAGCACATTGTTGCCCTCAGGGAGTTGTCATTCATTTTCCATAAGCCTTCATCACCATCAGACACTTTCCTCTTTTAATTTCCCGGTCATCGGGCCACCCCTTCTCAGTCTCCTGTGTAGGATCTTAAGTTTTGGGTCTCTTCTCTGTTTACACTCAGACAGGTGATCTGATTCAACTTCAAGCTTTTAAGTATCACTGATTGGCAGTTAGCTCCCAAGTTTATATTGCCCCTGAATCGCAGATTCTTAGATCTAATTGCCTACTCAACATCTCTACTTGAGTGTCTAATGTGGACGTCAAATTTAACAAGTCCACAAGCAGACTCTTGACTTCCTGACCCTCTCTCCAGCCTGCACCCCAGAAGCCATCTTGATCTCTGTAGATGACAGTTCCATTCGCCCCTGTGCTTGGGCCAAAAGCTGTGAGATCATCCTTAACCACTTTCTCATTCACATCACATTCTACCTATCAAAAAAATCCTCTTTTCTCTGTGTTCAGAAATACTCATCTACCCATTTTTTCCCCCTCTCCAATTACCACCCTGGTCAAGGCTGTCATCATCCCTCTCGTGGATTATTGAAGTAGTCTTCTCACTCACTTCCTACTTCAGCCCTCACCCTCCCCACTGTATTTTCTAGAAAAGACAGAGCGATGTTTTTAAATATCAGTTAGTTATCTCCTAACTGCAGAACTGCTTATGGCCTCTGCTCAAAACTCTAGTGGCTTCCCTTGTTCTCGGAGCAGAAGCCAGACTCCTTTCTGTGACCAAGGTCCTTCATGATCTGACCCCGGCAACCTCTCAGCCTCGCCTCGGTCTAGTCTCCCACCAGCTCTCTCTGTTCTAGCTACGTTACCTCTCTGCATTCCTTCAACGTGCCAGGCAGATTCCACCTCAAGGCCTTTGCGTGTCTTCTCTCTGTCCTGGCTTGTTATTCCCAAAGATACCCAAATGGCTCACTCTGGCAATTCATTGATCTCTCCTCTCCGCCGCATCCCATCAATAAGGCTGTCACTGCCCACAGCGCTCCACTTACACTTCATCCCGTGACCCTATTTATATGTATTATATATATGCACCCACATGCTTTTATGTAAATATAAATAAATTTATATTTACTTATTTGCCGTTATATATACATATTTTACTTATTTATTTGCCTTATACATTACATACATGTATTTATATAAATATAAATAAACTATATATATTATAGTGTATGTTATATGCTATACACGTATTTATTGTCTGATTTCCCCCTCCCTCTAGAGTACAACCTCCACTAAAGGAAGGACTTTGTTTTTTATGCTTCATTTCAACATCTAGACCAGCCCTGGCTCACCCCCACTGCACATCTGTGAAAGGAAGAAATGAAGAAAGGAATTTTAATCCAACTGGTCCTAGGACACACAGGTATAATAAGGTACCAGCAAAGCCACACTTGATTAAAGAATAAGCCACCCTCATTTGGCTCATTACACCCCTGCCCAGATGCCCTATTTTACTGCCCTTCTCTGCTCCCCTTTGATAGCAAGCTCAGCTGAATCCATAGAGCAGAGACATACTTCTCTTTACCTTTGTTGCTGCCTGGTGGCGGAGTGGACAGTTTGATAGGTGAGCGTGGAGCCGCGTCTCTGGAGAGGAAATATAAAGCCTTTACTTTTTGCCCCTCCCTTTCCATTTGTATCCTTAGTGATTCAGCTCTACACCTGCTGGGCAGTAGGCTCAGCCCAGAGAGGAGGCCTCCCCAAGTGTCACCAGAGCTGCTTTGGATTCCCGAGACTCTCAGCAGGGCCAGTGCTTTCTGGGGAAGTGCCCAGTTCTTAAACTTCTTCTGCTCTGCTAGAGGGGAAACACTGACAAGCCTAACCTCTGTTCAAGACAACACTCTATTCTTCTAAAAAGACTGACAGAGTGTTCAAGTTGGCAGTGCCATATGCCAAATCCCGGGGACAGCCTGTGTCCACGCGCCTGGCCCACAGCTACCCGATAGGAAAGGATCCAGCCATGACAGACGCTTCCTAGCCTGAGGCACATTCATCCCAAGGTCTTCTGAGCTCTCCAGCATGGAGCATACGTTTTTATGTGGAGTTTCAGCAATCTGCTGGCAGGTAATTCCTGTCCCATAAAAAGAACAGAAGAATGAGCTCCAGCAGGAGTCTTTCTGTGGTTTCAGTTTAAAAGCTTGGTGGAAGCAACAAGCCACCCTTACCTACCTGACGGGAGTTCAGACGTATGATTCAGGACTGTGTAAATAAGATTACAGATTAGGCGTAGGGATGAAACCTGGAGAGAGCAAATGTTTGGGGTGTGCAGTAGCCAGAATCAGCGCCGGGGGACAATTCTGTCTTCCCAGAGACCACTCGGGTGCACGTTACACACAGCCCAGCCTCCGGGGTTGATTCCACTGCCGCAAGGTGACCTAGGACGCCTGGCTACTCTTAGAGCATCAGTGAGTCCTTCGTGCCAGCGACTTTTCTCTTCATCCTCAGCATGCCATCTGTTCTCCCTTAGACAAAGGAAACTATTCTACAAGACATAGGAGCTAGAAAAGTTAGGCTTAAAATGATGGCCCTAAGATCCACCTTGCCCAAGAACTTCTTAAAAAAAACAGCTGTATACAGCCAACCACACAGAACTAAAAGGAATCCCAAATCTGTCCAGACTTTTTCTGCTAAGAGCCAAGTGTTCTCTGACACAAGCCAGGTCCAGCAGGGGGTTGCCAGGGCTTGGAGGCCTCAGATCCTCCTAGCTTAGGGCCAGGCCCTGCCTCTTCGTCCTGTGTCCATCTCCCTTGAGATCCAATAAGGAAGGGACTGGTTTTCTTAGCTTTCTCGCCATCTAAGAACTGGGCTGATGAAAGGAAGTCTTTTTCATCCTTGATCTAAAGTGTACCCCTGTTACTTTCCCTGTCAGAAGGGGAGATCTTGGGCTCATTTGATTTTTCTTTCCAGACAGAAGGATATCCATTATATAACACTGTTTGCCTCTCTTTATTCTCTCATCCGCTCATCCTTACTCCACCCAGCCCCCACCTAGGGTTTTAGCCTTACACAAAGTCTTGCATGCACATAATTTATTTGGGAAACTGTCTCAGGAAATAGAAATAGAAGAAAAAGAGGAGAGGAACAGGGAAACAAGGAAAGCTAGGCAATGATGGTTGTAAGTTGGCCCCTGGTACCTGGTCCCATAGACTTTCGGAAGAACCTTATAAAATGTGTCTCAGAATTCTCCTCCCAGAGGAAAACTGAAGGAAGCTTTTGCTTACTGGTTTTCACCCCATTAGTCAAGAATGACCCCACAGGTAGTAACTCAGGTTGCACCTGTACGCATGCCAAGCATGCACAACAGACACCAAGGCATCAGAAAAGCTCTGGCGCTGGAAGCAAGCTGTAAAGGGAGGCGCTGTCAAGTTGAAGTGCACAGACTCATTTACAGCTTGTGCAGAGCTGGTAGCCTGGCTAGCAGCCACATTAGGAGGAGGAGGTGACACAATCTGATGTGGCTCAGAAGAGGTGGCCAGCCCACCTCCTCCATGGCGTAGCCTGCAGAGGGCCTGGGCGGGGAGCTGTCCTCCACTGTCCTGACATGGGCGCTAGCTGTCCAGAGGAAGCACCCACTCCGGTGTATTCCTTTGGCCCTGGGTTTTCCTGGGCGGCACCCCTACTAAGAGCCCAGAAATCCCAGGGACTAGGCTGGACATCTGTCTGACTCCGAGAGCCAGAATTAGAAAACCCCTTGTTGGCTCACATCTAATCCTGTCTTTTAACCTATTTTTATCTGTAATAAATATTTTGCTCTTCATTGGCCTGAATTCATTGACTTTCTCTCAAATTTTTTCAGGATTCAGATGAAGGAAGAAATATCTTGCCCTGGCCAGGTGGCTCAGTTGGTTGGAGCATCAACCCCTTCACCAAAAGGTTGTGGGTCAATCCCCAGTCAGGTACATACCTGGGTTGCGGGTTCCATCCCCAGGCAGGACATGTGCGGGGCAGCCAGTTGATGTTTCTCTCTCACATGGATGTTTCTTTCTCCCGCCCCCTGCCCCATTCTGCCCACTTCTTCTCTCTCTAAAACCAATAAACATGTCCTTGGTGAAGATTTAAAAACAAAGTTCTTTATTGGGCCTCACAGCCTAGGACAGTGAGCATGGGCTGGACAGGGGAATAGAGGCTGGCTTCCTTCCCCCAGCCACCGCCTCTGCTTGGCCAGGGCATAAGTAGCGCCACCTGTACTTGATGGCCCACGTCAGAAGTTAAGGGAGGAGAAAGAACTGGCAGGTAAGTAGGAGGACCACAAGGAGATCACAGCCGGCATTGCGTGGGTGCTGTTCTAAGGCCCCAGGCTCCACTAATGTGCGAGAGAACACACCTGTTTTAGTGAGGGTGTGCCCTAAGGCAGCACAAAAGAAAGCAAAGCTGAAGAATTATTTTATCAGCGACATTAGGGGAAAACAATGAGTGACATATAG